GGGAAGAATTCCTTCGTAATATCCCATCTATCCCTGTCCTCTGGCAGTGGGAAGCCATTGCCCCTTGTCCTGTCACTCCAGACCCTTGTAAAAAGTCCTTCTCCATCTTTTTTGTAGGTTCCCTTCAGGTACTGGAATTACTGATTATTACTTGTATTCTAGTAAGACTCAGTCAAGTTATAATCAAGCCACATTGTGCTAAAAACTAAGTTACAAACATTTTTAGGTTTGGGTTCATTTTCTTTTTCCATTCAGCAGGCAATTTCAGCCTGAAATACAAAAGGAATCATGCAGTGGGGAAAAACTTGCTTTTAAATAATTATTTCATTACAACAGATTCTTCAAGGTCACATACAGATCACTGCAGAAGCAACACGTCATGAAAACAAAACAAAAAGTACCAATACAGAGATTTGCTTTACCACTTTTGTGTATTTAACGCAGAAAACAAATATATATATATATATATATATAAATAGGAGAACTGTGATAAAAGAAGGGCAAACAAGAAACATGCACCATTCTGAATCAGCTGCACAAGACAGTACAATTCTTGACTCCAGACAGCACTAGAACTTCTTTGTAGCTATAAAAGGCTTCAAATTTCAATCCAAAATAAACAGGGATTTATTGAAGACTTCAAGTCAGTGTATCCTGATATGTCATCAGTCTCAATAACAGCAGGGCTGCACCCTGCCTAGAAATGTAGATCTCCACTAACAACTGCCAGTCACCATTATAAACTGGTCAATAAAAACCACTTTATTTACATAAAACACTGTTTTTCCATCACCAGCTTTAGGGCCAAAACTCGGTTCTGGTTTCAATTCAACAAACAAGTAGAATTTATAGGGCTAGACAGAGCTTCCATCCCTCTGTCTGTCTTGCAACTCCAACTCCACAGTGCTCTCCTGGCAAAACCATCCATAAACCCAAGTCTGTAACTACCAGCAGCGGATCTGGGTTGTGATGGAAAGCAAGAAAAACCCACATGCACATGAAGTATATAAAGTTCCCTCAAACAGTTTGGAGCGGGAGGGGAGTTGCTTGTTCCTCTGAAATAATACACCTCACAAACACTTTGGCTCAGAGCAGTCACCACTCACAGAGATCTCTGTCAGTGGTTTTTTTGGCACAGTTTTAGAACAAACTCCAAACAGAAACTCAAGCGTGGCTGAAGAGCTAATGATGTGGAAAATGCACAGAATCTCCCAAAATTGCGCTTGCCATTCTAAAAGGTTTATTTTGTGTCTCGAGTTACAAGCGTTTCTCCAAACATGACACAGTTTTATCTCACATAACAGGAATTTTCCATTCATATCCCTCATTGTGGGGTGCGATGTAAAGCTCATAATGTAATGGTTCCACTTTCTACAAACAGACAATTGAAAGTGAAGGGGAGGAAAAAAAAAAAGAGAAGATTCTTGAAAATTTTGAAAAATCTCTTCCACCTATTATTTTCTCCCTCCATAAAAAAAAAAAAAATCTGGAAAAGTGAAACGATCCCCTGTGGGATCTTGTGGTGATATCACTGGTGGAGTGCCCCCAAAGACATTACAGTGCCTCTCCTGGCACACCACATGTATTAATTAGTCCTACCAAAATACAACTTCCAGAAACAGAGATATCAGCTGAGAGGTGACTAACAAGTTTTTGGTGCTACAGGTGGTTGTTTGGAGTAATCGGTTACCAACGTTCTTAAAATTATTTTGACGGTTTGGACATTCCTGATCCCATTTTGGCTCCTTGCAGGAAGAGAACATGGCTGGTTTTTCCAAGGTTTATCTTTACCTGTGATATACCATCAAGTTCCTCAACTCCTTGTTTCACACTAGTCCCCAGCTGTCTCTGCCACACACACACGCACACATACCCTGGTTCATTCCATTTACCTGAATTTAATCAATTATTTATTTTATCTGTGAAACCTGAGTGCAGGATGGCAGAGAGAAGATGCTACATATCCCTGCAGCCCTCTGCTGTCCCCAGGGATGAGGAGGGCCCTTCTTTGGGCACTCACAGTTTTATATCCTTCTTAAATTACAGACCCAAAGCAGCACACAGGACTCCAGCACCATCCCTGGCCAACCCACCAGACCTGTCAGGATTTTCACACACCATTTTCTCACATTATGCATTTTATTCACAAATTTTGCTGCCAGGCCACAAACCCGTTCTGTGTACAGGTATTTAAACCCTGGGACACAGGAATTTTTTCCTCGGGAAAATCTTGCTGTTTGACCCCCTCCTCCCTGGAAATAATCTTTAATATTTCTGGGAGGGTATTTATTGTTGCATCAGAGGCATCAGTGTCTTGTGTCACGTAACATAAGCGTTATTATCTCTTAAAAGAAAGACAACCAACAAAACCTCATAACCCCAAACAGCTACACGTAAGCACAAAATTACCACTCAATTTCTTATTGTTGTCCACACTCACAACAAAACTCTATTTTCTTATATGAAATAAAGACTTCCCATATTCCAGCTCTTGTCCATCATCTCTTCTCTTTCTGCTACACACCTCCATTTTTTTTAGACTCTCCCATTAGACATTCATAAACAGCAGTTTCTGCCCCAACCAATTACCTGAAAGCCCAATTAAAATTCAGATTCAATCACCAATTTGATTTCACCAATTAAATCTCCCCAACTACATATTTCAGCCCTTACGTGTGGCTATTTTTCCTCGCATTCCACAGGCATCCAATCTACAAACTGATAAAAACTTCCAGAAGGTAAAGCCTTGGTGTCATCAGTGCTTTCCTTTTGATTTGCCAAAAGGACACTTTTTTGGCAGAAAACTAAAATACACCATAAACAAGCTTTAGCACATCCCAATTTGATGTGCTGGACAACAGCTCAACTTAAGAAACAATCAGAAAACCCTAACAAGTAATCAGCTACAAACATTTGTCATTTAATTCTGCCAGGTGCCAAGGGTAACAAGGAAACTCACAGGACTTCCTCAAGTTTGCTTTTTTTTTTTCCCAAATTTTTTCCTACACTTAGTTTGGATTTCCCACTTACAGATGATCCCTATTTATTTCTGCCACAGCCATTATCACCACTTCAGATTCCACGCAACATCATTATGATTTCCTCCATGTGAAGGCACCCAAACTCCAGAGAATTCCTTTGATCTTTTCAAAGAACAACCAGCACCCTTACCATTGTTGCTGTTAATTAATTTATTTATCAGTCTGATGTCGCTGCTTCTATAAAGGTATGATCCCTAGAGTTCAAGTCTGCAATACCTTTCTCCTGAAGAGGCAAAATTAATCTCAAGGGAATAAAAATACAGCAAATTTCACATCTTTATCAAGCAGCTTGAGTGTTGCACATAATCTCTAAAGGCACCAGAGCTAAAAATAAAAGCAAACAGCATACCTGTTCCTTCATGCAGTGGCTGTAGGAGTTATTAAAATGATGTTTACAGCCACAGTGACTGGCTGTCCTCACGTTGCCTCAATCCTTATGATGTATTTCTTCCCACTGCTCATCTTGGTCTGCAACATCTGGATTGTTTTAATTCTCCATTATGCTAAGTCGTGTAATTTTTGTACCTCTGCTATCATATTCTGGGGTTTAATAAACTGGTCTTCTCCTTGATCCTTCCATCATCTGTTTCTTCATTCCCTGGACCCACCCTAAATCCTGCCATTCCAAGCAATTTGTTCTGACAATCCCTCTCGGGCAGGTTTCATTAAAACCTCCAGCTGTGGAAGTGAAGTTACTAACGTAGAACTAAAAACCAAAAATCTCCCCACCTGGAGATCTTGCGCTGGCCCTACTGGGAATCCCACCAAACTCAAACCACTTGTGCCCAGCCATTCCTTTCACTTCAAACAACACCCTTGGAAGTCCCCGTGACATTATTGTCTAAACTGATGCCAAAAATCCCTGCTTGTGCCTGGCTCCTTCACAACTTAGTTCTGTCTGTGTCTAAACGCAGGTTGCAGAAACGCCTTAACATAATTTTAAAAAACAAAATCCTAAACTATCAATTTATGCATTTCTTCCTATTAATTAACAGCCAGAGTTACTGAAGGAATAAAGAAAAATGCTGCAAAAAGAGATCTATTTGAATGCCCTGAGGACAAGCAGCAGCCCAGCTCTTACAAGCGAGGCAGCCAAAAATCTTCTTTTTCCCCCTGGAACCATCTTTCACATTAGTTAAATTCAGGTAAAAACTCCATGATAGATAAAGTCAAAGTCAGGTAAAAGCTCCACGTTAGTTAAAGTCCAGAAAAAACTCTGTGCAACAGCCCTAACACCTATTTGCACAGAACAGAAAACAGGACCACGAAAAGAACATTTGGCATTAAGATCATGGTTTAAGAGAGCAAAGACTGCTCATCTTCCGCCGTTAGAAAGTCCTGTTTTCTGCACACAAAATGATCATCCCAAAACTCTGCAGGGCACCTGCTCAAGCACATCCTTGCTCTCTTGTGTGCTAGGACGAAAGGCTCACATCCATCTCCGTGTTTTATCATGGAATCACAGAATGGCTTGCGTTGGAAGGGACCTTATAGGCCATCTCATTCCAACCCCCTGCCATGGGCAGGGACACCTTCCACTAGCCCAGGTTGCTTCAGGCCCCGTCCAACCTGGCCTTGGACACTTCCAGAGATCCAGGGGCAGCTACCGGTTCTCTGGGCAACCTGTGCCAGGGCCTTATGGCTATCAGGAACATGAACAGCGGTAAAAACGCATCCAACAGGGATTAAAATGGAACGACGCCAGCGAGACGCACCCGCGCGCTCCCTCAGGGCCCTCACGAAGCCCCGCCCCCCGGGGCGCGAGACCGCCCCTTCCCGCCAAGTGGCCTCAGCCAATCAGCGCAGAGATTGCCACAACAGGCTGCGCTGTTTGTCTCTTAAAGCCCGCCCCTCTCCCCCGCTCACCAATCAGAGCGCTCCTCTCATGCAGCCCCGAGGGAGGCCCACTTGGCTCTCCACGCACCCTGTGAGCCGCAGCTTACCATTGGGCGATGCGGAGGTGGGCGGGGCCAGTTCGAACGGGTGGCGGCGCCATGGTGAACCCGGTGAGGGATCGGGATCGGGATCGGGATCGGGATCGGGATCGGGATCGGGATCGGGATCGGGGCCGGGGCCGGGGCCGGGGCCGGGGCCGGGGCCGGGGCCGGGGCACAGCCGAGGGTCCTGGTCCCCAAGTGAGCCCCTCGCTCTCCCCGCAGCCCAGCGCGGCGCCCGACGACGGCTTCGCCTCCTCAGACGACGAGGCCGGCGAGGAGGACCCGAGCCCGCTCCACATCTCCTGGTGAGGCGCCGCCCGCGGGGGTCCCTTCCCTCAGGAAATTGCATTAAATCCCTCTTCTGACAAAGAGGAGCTCTGGTCACCTGCCAGGGTTGTGGGTGGATGGCGATGTCCCTGAAAACGGATTAAAGCGGTGCCGGGGAACTGTCAGTGGAAGTGGCTGGCGTTGGAAGGGGCCTCTGGAACCCGCCCAGTGGGATCCCCCTGTTCAGGCAGGTTCACCCAGAGCAGGATCACATCCAGGTGGGTTTTTGATATCTCCAGGGATGGAGACTCCAGATCTTCCTTGGGCAGTTCCAGGGCTCTGTTCTTCCCTGTGAAGGCAGTGAGGCCCTGGCACAGGTTTCCCAGAGAAGCTGTGGCTGCCCCCGGATCCCTGGAAGTGTCCAAGACCAGGTTGGACGGTGCTTGGAGCAACCTGGGCTAGTGGAAGGTGTCCCTGCCCATGGCATGGGATGAGTTTTAATCCCTTTGCCATGAAATGAGCGTTTTAAGGCCGCTCAAAAAATCACCAGCAAAGGTATTAGTGAAAGCAGGTTTAATATAAAGGCAGTGGCACAACAGAGTTCGTGGCAAGGGTCACTCTACTACTTACTAAACAGTTAAAATACACTGAGAAAAAGCACACAAAAATCTAAAATCACTCTCAGTACCAGCCCAGAGACTCCATGTCTGTGGAGGCTGTGGTTGTGGAGGGGTAGGTAAGTGAGGCAAAAGGACAGAAGGTATAAGGACAAAAAGGAATACAGCCCAACACAGCCCAAAGGCCTGACAACACTTATAACTTATAGCTTAACTTAACACTTAATACCATTAACTTAACACTTAACTTATGACTTAACTTAATCTAACAGCACTTAACTTATAACTTAACTCTTAACCTATTAACAATTTAACTTGGATCTATATCTGATTTACTATACTATGACAGTCACTTACTTATAAACCTAAAGTATTTAAGAATTTAAGAAAGCAGTGTCCCTGGCACATTTATACAGCAAATGCACACAGACACAAAGGGTCTGCACAAGGTACCCGTGAAAAATTCCCCTGGAGTTCTGTGAAATACTCACTTGGAATGTTTTTGCATTCTCCCCAACGGGAGAAGGACGGAGGAGTGAGATGTCAGCCCAGGGTTTGTCAGTCAGGATCCCCCAGGAAATAGCAAACATGGAAGTTGCCACCTCTGAGAGGTGTCCCAGCTCAGGGGGGTGTCTCTGGTTGCCACAGCCCAGGAGAGCTGAGCGGGTCTCATTTTGGGACACCGTTTGTAGGGTCAAAAGAGAGTGGGCTTCAGTCGTGATAACCTGTCACCTCAGCCACACTTTGCATTCTTACACTTTGAAAGTGTTATTCAGGCAAAAAGTTTCCAGGGACGTTCATTAGAAAAGCAAGGGACTGGTCACACAACACAACTCTGGGAACAGACAGGATTTCTGGCGAGCTCCAAGCGGCTCAGCCTGAGCCTTGTCAAGGCCGAGGCCTAACGAGCACTACTCAGATCATAGTCAGGGGTGAGGAGGGGGGATTGCACCACCACACCCTTCCAACCCAGACCATTCTGGGGTTCTGTGATTTTGTCGCCCTCCAGAAAGTTTTTCCTCATAATCAGATGGAGCCTCCCATGATTCAGTTTGTGCCTGTTGTCCCCTGTCCTGTCACCAGGCACCACTCAAAGGGTCTGGTCCTCAGACCTGACCTGACACCTGCCCTCAAGATGCTTATAAATTTAAATAATCAAACTCTCACCTTCTGATTTATGTTTATTTTTAATTTTCTGATAGGTTGTCTTTGTCTCCTCTCTACTCTTCCAAGTTCCTGGGATTATGCTCCCTTCCAGGTAAGAAGCATTCGCTGAAGTTTGCATGTTTGAAAGCTGAAGAGGGGTAATACCTTGTACCCCAAAATTCTCTGTGGCTTATTTTGTAATCTACCACTGGAATAATTGTTTTGGAAACAACAAAGCAAATCCATAGAATATCTTAATGTAAGATCACATGTTTTTAATGTACAGAATAAACATACAAGCTTCCACTGTATTTTTAACTACCAAAACTGCAGCCATGGTGAATCTCCTGTGGTCACCAGACCACTCAACTCTTAACTCAGTTATCAGTGGATAACTGATCTTTATCCACCCCTTTTATTTCTTGGTTTTTTTGTTTGTTGTTTTTTTGTGTGTGTGTGTGTCTTTTTATGCTTTACCCCGATTCAAAATTTCCAAAACTTTTTATCTGGAAAACCCAAAGCAGCTTAAAACCTTGGGCAGATTTCTTCTTTTAATCCTATTACATTAGAGCATTAAGCAGATAATGGTGCTTGAACTGCCTCCTGTGCCAGGGATCTACTTGCAAAAAAAAAAAAAGAACTTGTGTTTTGCTTGGGGTGTGGCTTGGTTGCTCGCTCTGGTTTTGGGGGGAGGTTGCCTGTGCTCTGCTCTTCAGCTGCAGCAGCCATTCCATAAATGTCACTTACCTGGAGTGGGAATTTTTGTCCATGATTTGTTTCAGGTTGCAGGTTTAAGGATGTCAGGAGGAACCTTCAGAAGGATGTAGGTGAGTCTTCTGGCCAGTGTGTAAAGTGCCTCTCGCTCGTGTAAAGGGCAAGAAAAAGGTGCAGCTGCAGCAAATATCTTGGCACAGTCACAGATCACTTTTAGATGTGCCAGTGCCACTTCCCCTGTGGCTTCCCTACAAATACGGGATAAATAGTTGGGGTATTTCCAGGCTGGAGCTACACAGACATCTGTGTGTCCTTCACAGGAACCATGAGGCATCTTTAAAGCAGCTGGGGTCAAGATGAATTACAAACTTGTAACATCCCCTTCCCAGAGGAAAGTGAGGTTGGGATAGAAAGATGGGATTATTTAAAGATTTGTGCTGAGTATTCACCTGTGAGCACTAGAAGGGCAGAGACTGATAGCACAAACCCCACAGTGTTTGGACAAGTGAAGCTTGGGAAGAAAATCCTGGGTGAGGCCCTGGCACAGGTTTGCCCAGAGAAACTGTGGCTGCCCCTGGATCCCTGGAAGTGTTCCAGGCCAGGTTGGATGGGGCTTGGAGCCACTTGGGATAGTGGAAGGTGTCCCTGCCCATGGCAGGGGGGTAGAATGAGATGGGCTTTCAGGTCCCTTCCAAGCCAAACCATTCTGGGACTCAGTGATTTTAAGCTGGAGATGGGACAGAAAGATGCTTTAATAGTCAACATGCTCCCCTCAGTGCTGATGTGCTTCCTAGTGAGGCTTCTCTCAGGACTCCTCTGAACTGAGAAAACTCCTCACCTGGATCGTCTAAAGGCAAACGTGGGGGAGACTCAGTGGAAGGAAATGCTGCTCAAAGCAAAATTTCTCACTCCTGTTGTCTTAACCTCAGAGATTAAACAAGAGACTCAGAACCAAGCAGCTTATCTGTGTATCCCTGAGCTTGATAGGCTTTTGTTTATTTGCAAGTGTATTAATCCATTGGCAGGAGAACTGAAGAACTGTGGGATCCAGGACATATTTGTGCTTTGTACCAGAGGAGAGCTCTTAAAATACCGAGTGCCAAACCTGATAGACACCTACCAACAGCACGGGATGTGTGTGCACCACCATCCCATTCCCGATGGGAACGCTCCTGACATTGCCACGTGCTGCGAAATCCTGGAAGAGCTCAGAAGCTGCCTGGAAAATAACCGGAAAACAATGATACAGTAGGTCCTGGTTAGATGTATAAGCAGGTGAAACAATGGTTTGAAATGGTAATTGCAGTCTTTTGGGTTAGTTCAAGCTGTGAAAAGCTGCTTGTTCCTCCTTCTCCGCCTTTTTGGAGAGAACTCGTCCTTTGTAAGATTAGAGTGTCCCATTTCCCCTTGCTCTGTCCAGCAGAGTGTGTTGAAGGGCTCCTTGCTCCCAGCCTACCTGGATAGCAGGTGTGCAGCAGGAGATGTGAGCTAAACCAGCTCTTGTCAGAGGTTGTGGATGCCCCATCCCTGGAAGTGTTCAAGGCCAGGTTGGACGGGGCTTGGAGCAACCTGGTCCAGTGGAAGGTGTCCCTGCCCATGGTAGGGGGTTGGAATGGTCTTTAAGGTCCCTTCCAACCCAGACCAGTCTATGATTCTATAACAGGGCCCTGGGCTGTTTATTAGGAACTCAGTGCGTTCCAGCAGTGCAAAATTCCCTCTTAAATCACATGAAACTGGTTTAAAGTAATTTATTTAGACACCTGTAGCTGAGCTCAGGGGGGAAGAGCTTTCCCTGTTCCCTGAATGACCCAGCACAGACATCCACCGACTCCTTGGTTTTCCTGCTGGTGCAGAACCCTGCTGTCCTCACAGGTATCCTCAAAACCTTAATCTGGAGTAGGATCTAAAGAAAATTCAGGGTGTCCACCCTCGTGCCATTTTCTGTCCTCCCATGCCTTTGGGACTATTACCAGGAATGAAAGGGAACTTTAAAACTGAAGTTTTAAAGACACTTAAGGAAGATCTGAAGAACAAATGGGAGATATCCCTGTAGGTATAGAAATAGAATATATAAAATACACAGAAATTGTTGTTGACTCCCTTGTGCCACTGGTGCTCTTTATGATATTGAGGTGAGAATTGTGTCCATATATTTATGCACTGGGGGGTCTCTGGGTGTTGCAGTTTCCCACAGCTTCTTACAACCAGATGTTTCCTTCTCTCCCAGCTGTTACGGTGGCCTTGGGCGCTCCTGTCTCGGTAAGAACTTGTCTTACTATAAAGGGGATGGACTTGTTCCTCTGCATCCTCCTTCCCCCCAGTGTTCCAGAGCATTAGTTCCCATGTGTGACCCAGAAGGAAGGGGTGGTGATACTGCCAGGAGACACAAAGGGGACTTAACTGGGTGTACTGGCACTCATTCTTGAAAAGCCTAGGAATTGCATCCCAAGTGCTGCTAGGAAGGCGGGGTAAAACAGTGTTTCCAAAGCCTGCAGGCTTGGGCAGGAGCAGCAGCAGATGGGCCAGTGCCCAGAAATAGGATTCAGGAAAAAAACCCAACAGATGTGTGACCCCGACGGGAGTTTTGCTGGGGTGGTTTTCCTGGGACAAGCCTGTGGCTGTGCATCCATGTGCACACACCTTTCCCTTGCAGTGGCTGCCTGTCTCCTGCTCCAGCTCTCGGACACACTGGCACCTCAGCAGGTGATAGAGAGCCTCAGGAACCTGAGGGGATCCGGGGCCATACAGACCATCAAGGTAACGGGGCTGCAGCAGGTGACACACGTGTCCAAACAGGAGGGACAGCTCGGCCAGGCCCCTCCTGCCATTCCCAAAGGGATCCCTCTGTCTTTCCAACATGCTCCACAGCTGCTCCCTGGGGGTTGAGCTGTTCCCTGCTGAAGCTGCTGAACAGCTTCTCCCAGGGAACCAGCGACAGGACAAAAGGAAATGGCCTCAGGTTGTGCTAGGGGAGGTTTAGGTTGGATATTAAGGAAAATTTCCTCATGGAAAGGGTTGTCCAGCCCTGGCACAGCTGCCCAAGTCAGTGGTGGAGTCCCCATCCCTGGAGGGATTTAAAAGCCATGTGGATGTGGCACTTGGGGACATGGGTCAGTGGTGGCCTTGGCAGTGCTGAGGGAACAGCTGGACTTGATGATCTTGGAGGGCTTTTCCAACCTAAATCATTCCATGATGCAAAATAAAGCAGCTTTGAATTCTGACACTGAGCTCCCACCTATGAGGACCGTGTTTTGCATTACCTTGGGCTCACATTGCCCTTGACGGGATCCAAGCCAAGATCCATGTAATCTGTGTCTGACAGTGAAAAACTCCAGAGGGTTGGATCAAGCACAAGAAGAACAAACCAGACTAGAGGGTGCAGTTTTCCTCCTGGGGTATCAAACAGATTTTTAAGAGGGGTGGTGCCTCTTTCTGACAGCGCAGAGCACTCACTGCAGACCTGGTTGTGCTTTTCCAGCAGTACAACTTCCTCCATGATTTCCGGGAGAACCTGGCTGCACACCTGGCAACGACGGACACGGTGCCGAGATCGGCATCGCGGTAGCTGGCACTGCCCTGGGCATCTCGGTGCCTGTGGAACTCACGTGGATGAGACACCTCTCCCCTGACCTTGACTTCCTCACTGCTCCTGCCTGGGGGACACAGCTGCTCCCTCCCAAATCCGGCTGTGAAACTTCGGGGTGGGGATGGAGATCCTGCAGGATGTGCAGCATCTCCCCCTCCTTGGTGACTTTAATACTCACTGCCTTAAAAATACATCTGCAAGTGTGGTTGTGCTCACTGCTGTTCTGGTGGCCTGCACGCCTGGCTTTCCATATAATAATCTGGATTCATGTTGGGATGACATGTTGGGAGCTGGATAAAAATTACAACACTGGAGCTGTTTACAAACACCCTCAGCAAAGTCAGGCTGGAGGGCTCACCCCTTATGAGCTGTAAGAACTCGTTCTAAAACGTCACATTTCCGCTCCCTGTGTTCAGGAATATTTAGGAATGGGTCCCCTCGTTCCACAAGTAGGAGGTGTTGCACCACAGATCTGTAACAAGCCAAACAGGTGGGTTTTTAGGTGGCTGCCGGGAAGAGACACTGCTGTAGCTGCGTGGGTGAGGCTCTGGCACAGCCCTTCTGCCTGCTGACAGCAGAGAAAGTAAACAAACAATCAGCTGTGAGCCGGAGAGGATCCCACAGGAACACTCCTCTAACAGTCCCCATCCCTCCTGTTCCACTATATCCACTCATGAAGGGAAGATGAACAGGCAGGTTTTGATAAAACTTTGATTTTTTCAGGACCTTCCCAAGTCAGAAGTTGTGACACGAGACTCCACCACAGCTCTGGTGGCTTTGAGTTGAAGGAAAACTGACTTGAATTTAAATTTCTCCCTTTAACATGTTTAAAACCAGACACCTGAGCGCAGGTTTAAAGGTGATTTCTACAGATTGATTAGTTTTTACTGCCATTCCCTTCTCCACCCCTACAGCAGACACAGGAACTCCTCCAGTTTCCACTTAGAGAAAATACTCTGCTCCAAATGTGCCCCGGTGTTTAATCCTTGCAGCTGAGGGGTTTCAGATATTAAGTATTTGTCGTATGACTCAGCAGGAAACTTGCTGACAGGGAGAGAAATGTTCTTTACTCTCTCCATAATCTTTTGCCTCCTGGAACTCCAAAACTAATGACAATCAGAAAAGCAATTCTATGTACGTATTATGTATTTTAATAGCTCTCAGGACTATTCTTCTCCCTTCAGGAAGAGGATTTGAAGTTACCACAGCCTGAGTTCTCTTAGTCCCAGTACATTATAAAAAGAGAAGAATTCAGAGCAGAGAGGAGGAAACTGCCACTCTGCATCCCCTGGGCACCCCAACTTGGTGTGGTAATAGCCTGGAAAAGGGAAAATTTGTGGAGGAGAAAGGACAGACCCAAAGCTACGGAAGGAATTCCAACCAGGAAGAGATCAAGCAGAATTCTCTGCTCTGACAGATCACTCATAAATAACAGCATAAATAACATGGAAATAGGAGTTTAGGGGCACCAAATGAAATCTGGCAGAACTGCTGAACAAGTACGTTTAACAGTAATTAATTCCACTGCAGAACTCACTTTCTTGGGATTGCCCAGAGAAGCTGTGGCTGCCCCATCCCTGGAAGTGTTCAAGGCCAGGTTGGACAGGGCTTGGAGCAATCTGGGATAGTGGAAAGTTGGAACTGGATGGTCTTTAAGGTCCCTTCCAACCCAAACCATTCTGAGGTTCTGGGATCTTCCATACCAGGTTATAAAAGTGCTCAGAAAGCAACTGAACCGATGGCAGAGAAGCCCTTCAGGGCTGTTTAAGATGCCAAAGCTCTCCCAGGACACCTGTAACACACAAATTTCCAAACACACTCACTCCTCAGGCAGAGATGTTCAACACCTGCCCTGTCTCATACTGTTCTTCCTCAGCTGTTGCCACTGCCCAACACACCAGTACTGGAGTGCCTGGATTTCTGGTGGACCCCAGTGCAAACACTGGTACAGCTTTTGTTGCCTCTGACACCCCAGAAACCCAAAGTGAACAAATACACCGTTTATACAAAAGAAAAAGTTTTACTAGAACTGGGAAACTCTGCATTGTTCTCCAGCACAGGTAAATGAGAAAGACTCCTAATTATTACTCGTAAACTAAGCAGCTGTTTGCAGTCACAATTTACAATATTTATGTGAAACATCTTCCCCTGCCCCATCTACTATTTAAACTTCATGAAAAAAAGGCAGGAAATGAGAGCTTCCCTTTTCCAGACATAATTTGGTTCCATGTTCTATTTTTAGAGGGAATGCAATTATCCATGTAAATCTGAGCGATGGACACAGCGAGGATCTGCCGAATTTAGAAACAAAACAAGGCACCAGATGAAAGGAGGTGTTGCTGAATTTGAGATTTGTTTTTTATTGTCATTTATTGCACTAAGGAACAGTGGGGCAGTTTCACAATCTCACTTTCTGCTTTGAGAAAGTCTGGAGTATTTATTACTCTTAAACCCAAGAGTGTTTTCATTACTGGACTTGGTAAATGTTGGAGGTTTATCCATTTGTTAATCAGACAGCACAGACATTTAAAAAAAAAAAATTATTTAAATTCATTCCTCCATGGACAATTCAGCTTCTCCTACCACAGTGACACAGGCTCGAGATTAAAGCAGGGCTAATGTTTGGAAGAGATACAGAAGGACCTGGACCATGCACAAAAAGGGAAAGACTAACCAGACAAAAAAAAAAAAAACCAAACCAAAATAGAACTACTTTTGCAACTGTGTCCATGAATTCATATCCTAAGACCAACGTCACCTACGGGCAAAACACAGCATTCCAGTCCTTCCCAAGCACTCGGAGCTACGGCTGATTTAGAGTTAAGAGTGGGATACACAAGTCCAAGTGAGCCACTACAAAGCCCAGCCTAAAGCAAATCCCTAGTTGTCCTAAGGCAAGTAGTAACCAACAGCTACTCGAAGGTTATGGCTGTTCCTTATGCAGTGCAAAGTCAAAACTTTCCAAACCCCAGTCACCTTTATATTAATTTACACGTAATTCTTTAATTTCGGCGTCCCAGGAAAATATAAGAAAACAGTCTTTCCACAAGTGTAAAATGTGGAAACATTTTAAAAACAGGGGAGTCATTGTTTTCTAATGCAATTGCGGTCGTCGGGTTCCGGATTTAATTCTTGGTCAGAGGTTCTTGTTGTAAAGAATCCATGGTTTTTTGTGGCTTTTGCATGCACTTAACTGGAACAAAGCTTGCTGAGTGTCTTCTTAAGAGCTCACCAGGACATAAATCATGCTGCAAAAGAAAATAAAAATATGAACATGCATCACTCTGATCAGTGTTACACATTTAACGTACATTCTAAGGAACAAGTTCATGTGAGATACATGGATTGTGACTGAAGATTTGACATGATGACTCTCCTACTTCAACAAAATTCACATTTACATCAAATACTTTAAAAATATTCATGTTTCAGCTTCTTAATGGAAATGCTCTGAGGGTTTATTATATTATGCTTAAAAGAAAAGCTTGGAGCTTTCCAGCTCCATGGAATACAGACTCAAAACAGTAATTCCGACCAAATTAAGACTCGTGTTTGAAACAGAATTAATGGTGATTGTGGATTCTTTTTCAGGAAAGTTGGCATTGTATGAACACCTTATCACAGTCACAGAACAGTTTGGGTTGGAAGGGACCTTGAAGGTCATCCAGTTCTATGCCCCAACATGGGCAGGGACACCTTCCACTATCCCAGGTTGCTCCAAGCCCTGTCCAGCCTGGCCTTGGGACAGTTCCAGGGATGGAGCAGCCACAGCTTCTCTGGGCAACCTGTGCCAGGGCCTCACCACCCTCACAGCCAACAGTTCCTTCCCAATATCCCATCTAACCCTGCTCTCTGTCAGTGTGAAGCCATTTCCCAGGTCTTATCACTCCATGCCCATGTCCAAAGTCCCTCTCCAGCTCTCCTGGAGGCTCCATTCAGGCACTGGAAGGAATATATCCCTGTGTACAATATTTCTCTGGTGCACTGAGCCAAAACTTCAGACTGAGGGGAAAAACTTACCCATATAGGTAGTAAAAAAAGGATAGAAGGTAGAATGCTAATTTGCACCATCCTTCTTTCTGGCAATAGGCTAAAATATCTGCATTCATGATGGTCGTAGGGTCGTAGAGCCCCGGGCCGCTCATCACGGGTCTGCTCATGTACCTGGAACGGGGGCACAGGGAGGTGTGGGATGAGGGCCACGGGAAACATTGGATCCCGCCCCCCACCCACCAAGGAATACCAGGACACACAACACAACCCTCGCACAGCACAAGAGAATAAAAAATTAAAACACCCAAGGAAGCCAAGTGATGGTTCTCATTGTGCAGCCACAAACTTTCATGGTGTCGTGTCAAAAAAGCGTCTTTGTCTTCCCAAGACACAGAACACGGGACAGGACACGGCAACGGGAGAACAAGAACAATTCACTGAGCACAGCCACACCAAAATTACCTCCAAATATGATAGGCCAACAAGGGCATATTGAGACCCAGTGTGAGCCACTCTGCTGCACAGAGAAACATGACACAGAAGAATGCATGGATGAGGTACTCTGGAAGTACAAGCTGGAAAAGAAAAAGATGAGTTAGAAGTTTCGATCACACAGAGCAAAACGTGTGGCGTTTCAGCTGCTTTGGAGGTGAGTGTTTGCTTAAAAATCATATTTAAAACCAACACTACCAAGAACAAGACTGTGGAACGTGAAAGCAGCAGCCAGCAGTGCTGCCTTGCTGTTTTCACATGATATTCATGGACCAAGTAGAAAAATTTATAAAATCAGATGCTCAGATCGATATTTTTTTCATTGCTTCTAATAAAGTGACAGATTCCACGCTTTACACGTGACCCTCAGAAAAGATCACCGCGATATTTCTGCTCATGCAACAGCGAAATATCAGCAGGAAACATGCTCCTTAGAACGGCTTATAGGCAGAAGGATGTTTGTGTTCTCCTGGTTCACAGCTTTGCTTTGGTATCCACACGTCCACAACTTCTCAAAGTCGAATTACTGCCAAAATGTAACACCCCAGGCAGAGCTTCACCCAGCCAAACCAGTCACACACAGGGGTCGGCTCCACACGGGCAGTTCGGGGGGAATTAGGCAGTTTTCCCTCCCAGTTCCCACTGTGCATGCCTCACAGCACCATGCTTCCAGCAGAAGCCCACAGAGCTCATCATCAGGGTACCATGGAACCACGGGAAGCATGAAATGCCAGGTGTATTAGTGTTGTTAATAGGAACAACATGGAGAGGTACGGAGAGTAAACACATGCAAAGGGCTGCGGAACCTGACGCCCACCACGAGAGGAAAGGTCTCGACAGGTCACCCCAAGTGCTGTTTACTGCCTTATCACACGGGTCAGAAGGGATCATGCATGGAATAACAGGGTGGTTTGGCTGGAAGGGACCTTAAAGATCATCCAGTTCCAGCCCCTGCCACGGGCAGGGACACCTTCCACTATCCCAGGTTGCTCCAAGCCCTGTCCAACCTGGCCTTGGACACTTCCAGGGATGGGGCAGCCACAGCTTCTCTGGGCAACCTGTGCCAGGGCCTCCCCACCCTCACAGGGAACAATTTCTTCCCGATATCCCATCTCACCCTGCCCTCTGGCAGTGGGAAGCCATTCCCCCTTATCCTGTCACTCCATCACTTGTCCAAAGTCCCTCTCCAGCTCTCTTGGAGTCCCTTTAGGCTCTGGAAGGGGCTCTAAGGTCTCTCTGGACCCTTCTCTTCTCCAGGCTGAATCCCCCCAGCTGTCCCACCCTGACTCCACAGGAGAAGCAGCAGATCTGTAAAAGCTTCTCCTCCTCAACTCAGGCCCACTAAAACTTCTCCTCAGGAAAAACACTCCATTTCCACCCAAAGATTTAATCTGTGTGCACACACACACACACACCACACTCTGCCCCTTTTTTTGGGCAGTGACTAACATTGCACAGGGCGATTACATCGAAGTTTCAGTGGTTTATAATTTTTTCATTCTTCTCTTAAAGCCCCAAAAATATCTTCCTAGAAATCTAACAGCTACCAACAAACATTCTCACCACCTCCTTTGCTACACCCTCCTGCCTCTCTAAATGAAGAATAACAAAGGAAACTTGCATCAACACCACCAAAATTCAGCTGTCATACACAAAATTTTCCAAGAAAATATCTTCACCCAGACCCTTCTTTGCATACTTACCATTTACACATGGCAATTATTTATAGCAGAACAACAACTGCCCTGTCCAATACACAATGCATTTGGCAGCCTGCTCAGACAGATCCACCAGGCCTGAAAAATCTGTATTTATTTACCTACAGCAGCCCAAAATTTGTTTTTCTTTTCTCTTGTTTATTATAACCCTACTCCCACACTGGAATACCTGCCTCTTTTCAAATCTCCCACACTTTATCCTCCCTTTCTGTCCTAAGGGAAAATTAATTACATCACATTCTGCCATATTTATCACAGAAACGAGGGAGGGTGAATCTGGTTGCTGAGAAAAGACATGACTATAACAGGAGCAGGGAAGAGAAGGAATCAGCAGTGTACTAAGGAGATACTATTTTGGGATAATCTTTCTACTGAGGTGTCTCAATTCCTACCAGGATTTTTTGATTCTTTGTCCAGGAGAACAACCCTCCTGTGTGTTTGCCCAGCATCATTTACCAGATTCCCTTTAAGAGCCTGGATCCCAACTCCACTTTTAGGGGCTCATCTGCTCTCACAGGAACAGCAAACATGAAGTTATTTCAGACTTCCAGGTCACAAAGCTGCCACGTAAAGGACACTCCATGCACAGGGTTAAGATTTGGTTAAACATGCGCATTTGAGCACTACAAAGGTTTGCAGGAAGACCATAATGCATCCATGTAATGAGAACTGGCCTCTCCCACACTGCAGCAGGAATGACTGGAACAGACCAAGCAAGGGAAACTGTTAAATGCGCAGCTCTCCGAGCAGGAAACCCCCTCTCCGAGCTGCAACCTCTGCCTGGCACCTCTGCTCCTCCCCACTCTCCTCACGCCGTAAGACCACTTGAATTTGTGTGCTGTAAATCTAAAATGCCTTTTTTTTTT